AAGCCAGTTTAGAAAACCTTACAAATTTGAGGCCAGATGGAGATGACTTTCGATGGTATTTCAAGGTTTGTTGAAATACAAATTAGAAAAAATTCTAATTGTTTCTTCAAAGCTGACAATATAACTTGTTAACAGTATCAATTTAACTTTTATTCTGTTTATCAAGCCTTTGATCTACATGTTTTTAATTGTAATATTTGATATTTATCTAAACAGCTTAAATGCATTATCACTAGATATTTTTAACACCTTTTCTGTTCCTCAGTTGTATAAGTAACTGATCCAAAAATTAATAGATCAAGATTTTTTTAAGCTTGTTATTCAACCAGATGAACAACAGAGCTGAACTTATATTTTAAGAGCATCTCGTGTTCAATGAATACAGTTAATAAAGTTAGAAAAAATACTACCTTTATGCTTAAAATAATAATACAATCATCTTTGTTTCTACTAACATTTCAAAATTTTGCAGCTTCATTAGGCCTATTACAAAAACTCAGTACCGTACTTTTACACAATAATAGTAAAGGAGATGTGTGTATTTATGATTGGTACAGTAAAAATGATGCAAACAGCTTAACTGCACTTCAATTACAAATGACACAGTGAGTTAGATATATCAAATTTTATAATAACATCTGATACAGAAAAAAAAATGTTTGACATGCTGGGTTTACAACTAGCCTGAACATAAAATCAAAATTACATGAGAACATCTACTTAACTTAAGAAAAAAAAGGTAAACAAACAGAAGTTTGACATAAGAACATAAAATAAAATGTTTGGTTGCCATGGTTCCCTCTGTAAGATACTTGCTTTTTTTGCTTTGTACAGAACAATTCACAAAGCAATGTAGAAAACAATTGTCTGTTACATTCATATGATTGTAGTGGAACTTCACAATCTAACACTATAATGGGGGCTTCTCAGCAGAAAAAGTTTGATAACTGCTGTCCTAATGGAGAAGTAAAATTTATCATTGTGTGTAGCTTTGATGAAATTGTGTTCCTCTGGGACAAGTTGTTTTTAAGACATAATTATTTAAAATACAAGGTTTTCTGTATAATTCCTGTATATTCAAATATGGAGACATGTACATATTTTCGACTTCTTCTGTCAAACTAGGCTTAACACATGTATCTTCACTATTTTCATCTGTGATCCCATTACTTGTGTTTATAGGATCACTTTGCACAAGAGATACTCCTCCTATCAGTAAGTTTCATACATCTGTGTTACACATTCATAGAATGTTGCTTGATGGATTACGCAGCCCTAAACTTTCCTCCATTTTTGGCAACGATATCTTTTTCTTTTTACTTAAAGAAATTTGCTATAAAAATTTACTTCTTAGATGACTTTTCAAGTCTTCCCCCTCCAAATTGAATTTCTTTTGTTCTTTAATGCAGTGAAAAGTTATTTCAGTACCTAAACTATATGTTCCTGGTTTTCAGAGTAAATTGTTCTGGTCTTGTTTCTGACAGAAATTCATATATTTGTGTTTCTTTTATGTTTCCTACTAATACTGCTGGGTTTTCCAGTTCTACTTTTATTACAGAGTTTGCTAACATTGTTCAGTTGACCATTTCTTTTTGCTTGCCTATGCTCTTTCTTGGATATCCTTTAATGTTGGTTAATTTGCTGAATTGTGGTTTTCATTAGTGACCCCTGTTTAGTCCACGATATATATATAAATAAATCAATAAATGTAATGTTATTAAATACATCAGTTGTAATGAATCAATAAATGTAATGTTATTAAATACATCTGTTGTAATAAATAAATAGATGTAATGCTATTAAATACATCAGTTGTAATAAATCAATAAATGTAATGTTATTAAATACATCAGTTGTAATAAATCAATAAATGTAACATTATTAAATACATCAGTTGTAATAAATCAATAAATGTAATGTTATTAAATACATCTGTTGTAATAAATAAATAGATGTAAAGCTATTAAATACATCAGTTGTAATAAATCAATAAATGTAATGTTATTAAATACATCAGTTGTAATAAATCAATAAATGTAATGTTAATAAATACATCAGTTGTAATAAATCAATAAATGTAACATTATTAAATACATCAGTTGTAATGAATCAATAAATG